CAGACAGAGCGCCACCCCATATCTGATGCCATTACGGCAACTGAGCCGGTTGGGTGGACAGGGGGCGATGGCCTTCCTACACCGGGAATCGAGCCCGGGCCTTCTGGGTGAAAGCCAGGTATCCTAACTACTAGACCATGTGGGAATACTTGGGAAACAAAAGATAAAAGCGTTTTTGTCACTTTTGAAAGTCAAAATTGATGATGGGGCGAATTAATAATAGTATGCCCGGGGTCACTGATGGCGGGAAGATCAGATTCTAACTCGGGCGCAACTTACCCTCGCTACGTCACTGGTCATCAGAGCCTGTTTACACAGGGAGAATCGCTGGTATAGTTGAAGACCACTTGCCATCAACGAAGACTCGTCACCAATCGACAAGTTAAAGTCAAATACTCATGTCCAGACATTTTGAGGGAAGTGACAGCTGAATATGGTTATATTAACGTCCCTTTCTGAAGCAACACGAGGGCTATTTTGAGAAAGGACCTCGAAAATCTGAACTACGATCAGATGACGAGGACGAAACCTGAGCTGCCTCCCACTCTAAACTTTCGCACCACACCAGTGGGAGGGCTTTTGACTGATTACTTATCATTTCTCCTGCAACAGGCCCACATACTCGGCAGTTCTTCACTGAAATCGGGTTTCGAACCTGGAATCCTCCTCTCCAGAAGCCAAGACCTTACCACTAGGCCACTGCACCCTGATACTAACATGGCGAGGAAGTCTGGAAGGGAAGTGTCGACTTACAGGTCTATTCTGGTACCCCCGGTTGGGTTGGGAGAAGACACTTTTTCTGCACGTTAACAACGGGAAAAGTGACGTCTCCCAACCCAATCGAGGGTACCAGAATAGACCCCTTAGATGTCATCATCTAACGACGGTTCAAAATAACGAGATCCGTCTCGAAACAGCCCTCAGGTTGATTCAAAATGGCTGAACTGAACTTATCTAAGACTAAATACTATGTTCATGTAGAAAATTTAATTACTGACAAACCCCGGTATAAAGAACTCTGCATGTAACGATTCCTCGGTTATAAGGAATTTTTCAAATGGTCTCAACTGAACTCCTACGCCACTAACGTATTTTAAAATGCTTGTAACAATCTTCAATAGCAAGGAATTCGGATAAGGTGAACCAAAATTTTGCCAAGCTTCCGCACAACACCACATCAGCGAGAGGATGTTTGGCCGCGACGTCGGATTCAATATGCACTAAGGCCACATAGACGGCGTTCGAACTTGGAAACCTCCAGCCGCGAAACCGGGATCTTACCATTAGGCCACCGCTGCCTCGGGCCAGCTACAGAGGATTAAGGCTTACTGCAGTTCCTTCGTTTTCCCTTTTTAATATAAGACTAGGTCCTCAACGTCGATTGTCAAATTTTGACCAGATTTAGTTCTGTTCATGTGGTCGCATTTTGAGGCCAGTGTAAAAAGAGATTTTTCTCAGAACTCAGTTATGTTTGCCACGATTTCAGCAAGGTATCCCAAGTTTTTTAATAATTCAATGTTTTGGCACAAATGAACATCCATTTCGTTATCTGACAAAACTCGCGTCTCGTGAATTATTTTACATTATCCCTCTTCTTTTTGGGCATCGTTTTCCGATTACGTTTACAAATGGAATGGTTCCTCCCATTGTTCGCAGAAAATGTTTAACCAAAAATCAAAAGGAAATATTAAAAAATGTGTTGTATTCTTTTCCATAATAACAAATAAAGAACTGAATGTTAATAGATTTTTTAAAAAAGGAGTTGGAATGCACAAGCATATACAAAAAACCATTATATAATTTTTTTTAAATTGACACTGTCAAAATAATTGTAGCAGTAAAAGAAAATTACCTATATACTAATCTAAAACGAGCGATGGCTTCACATTTTCCCTGAAAATATAAACAGGAAGTAAATAAGATAAAGATAGCTATTTTTTTAAATTTAAATTTTAAGCATCGTTTGTAATGATTTCATTTACCATTTATTTCAAACACAAAAATATGATATTAATCATTTAAAGTGAGAAGTTTAGTCAATTAAAAGGTAAACGCGCCATTCCATCCAAAGGTACTGTGATATTCTTAACGAATAAAAAATATGTATTTGTAGAATTATTAAAATATTTAAAGAAAGAAATTAATTAGATTAAAAAATCGTTTGGTCATAAAAGAAATTAATTAGATTAAAATATCGTTTGACTGAAAAAGAAATTAAATAAAAATATCGTTTGACATTAGTTCTTGTCTAAAGGTAATAAAAATAGTTTGGCAACAGTATTGTCTTTTGGCTAACGTTGCATAGCAACGGAAAAGAATTATGATTATGAGAGATTGAACTTGGAATTCGACGCAAGTCAGTGATTGTAACGTTTGTGATGGAAGTGTATGTGTTTGTTTTTCATGTTTGTGCCGTGGTAGACGTCCAATAAATATATTATTTTTGATAAAGAAGGCTCCACGATTCTTCATACTATGCTGCAATACATCACAGTACAATTTATATTTTGTATCCGTTGAAATATTATTGAGCAAATCATACGAAAGATTTGAAAAGACAGCGAAGAAGAACATTAGATAATCAAAAATATATATATATATAAAATGTTTTCTTTTCGATAGCAAAATGATTATCACAAACTTATATGCTGATACTTTCATCCTTACAAGTTGTTCTAACAATCAATTATGATCCCAGATGAGGAGCCATCATCGAACGACGAGACAAAGGACTCGAAGAACGAGAAGCGCGCCCCGGCCTCGGAAGACCAGCCGAACGACATGATGATGGGTTCGGGAGCCGAGAGCTGGTA